AGTCAAGTTGACAAAGGTTTGTGGCACTGAAACCGTAGTGTAGAATGAGTTGACAAATTACTTCTCGGTCGACGCTGTTGAAAGGCTTTACAAAGTGGATGAAGTAGAGAGGTGGGGAGTTGCCGTTCTGCCATTTTATGCTATGCTATGCTATGCTGTGTTCTATGATGATGCGTAGGGTGGTGTGGCGTTGCAATTTGATCGGCACATGATTTGTTTTTCCTGAATTCAACCAGCCAGCCTGCCTGTCCCGGTTGTAATTTTGAATGCAGCACATGTTTTAATCCCTCCAGGATGATGCGGCATAATATTTTGCTTGTAGTGACAGTGACAGGAGCATGATTCTGTGGCAGTTCTTGTGTTGACTTGGGTCTCCCTTGTTAGAGAGTTTGACAAGGTAGCCCTTCTTCTAATCGATCAGCAGGTGCCTTTCCTTCCTTCCTTCCTTCCTCCCTTTCTTGCAAAGCTTCTGCAATAGTGGTGTGAGCGTGTTCGGTGTTGTCTGTGCGTGTGTGTGTTTTCAGTGTTTCTGGATGAATTCCATGTGGTCCCACTGCTTTCCTGTCTGTCAGTGACTTCATGGTGTTCATGACTTCGAGTTTTGTTGGAGGGCTTGTGTTGACTGATAATTCTGTGTCTGGGCTGCTGGTGGTATTTCTGGACAAGTTGCAGGTGGTGGCGGTGGTGGTCGATTTGAGAGTTCTTCGAAGTGATTAGCCCATCGTTTCCTTTGTTTCTCCTCTTTGCTGACTAGGTCTGCAAACAGCTTTGCATTCTCGTTCATTTCACTGAGTGACTCTGGATCTATGATCAGTTCTCTTCCTGTGTTGTCCGTTCGCAGTTTGGCATTCATGCCACCCATTGTAATGAATTTTGATGTCGCCATCTGGTGTGGGGTCTTGTCTATTACTGATTGAAGTTGTTTGTAGAACTCCTTCTTCTCTTCATCTGCATTATTTGTTTTAGGTGCGCAGCATATCATTGTATGATTGTGGCTTTCCTTCAGTTTGAGTTGATTCTTGCTCTCACGATCCTGAAGCTGGAGATCAGTCCCCACTGCATGAGAGAGCTTTCGATGCCTTTGGGGACACCATGATAGCCACTCGAAAACTCAGTGTGCTCGTGGTTGTCTGTGTGACAATATCTGAGTAGATTATTGACTCTGCAGTTGACAGTTTGGAGTGTCCATTTCCATTCCATCTGCTTTTGCAGATTTCCAGCACTTCTGTGCTATAATTTCTCATTTCCTTGGCAATCCAGGCAGCCTTGCTATCTTCGAACACTCCATGTCCCTATGCTTACTTTTGCTTCCAACGAGAGAAGACACATCGGCCGACTGGCTTCCCGAAGGCTTTCACCAACCGGCATAATTTCGTCTCTCCGATTCCAGTGAGGAATAAGTTTAATTTTATATTCTCTTTGTGCTTTGAAGTTTCTTTAGCGGTTAGATTGGTTTTTCGGGGTAGGGTTGAAAGCCTAACCTTCTCTCTTTTTATCCGGGCTTAGGACCGTCTAGTAACTAGTTACCTAGGCGAGGTTCATGAGACATAGAAGTTCAAAACGAAGCATCGCACATAAACTGGGGACATAGTTTTTTCATGTTCGTGAGATATCTAACTAAAACTATTTTGACTGCAGTTTCAAAAGACTCGATCATGTTTGCCCCTTTGTTTTAGTTTGTAGTAAACTGATCCCATTTTATAAAAATTACTCACCAGCGGGCAACTGACATGACCCTATAGTGCTGACTGCTTAGCACTGATCGTAGTCTATCGATCAAGTTTTGATCTTCTAAATGCTTTCATGACTCATATTTAAGAAATCATAATAACTAGCAATATGCTCAGACAAGGTGTCAGTTGCTTCACAAATTAAAATGACGTCGGTTGGTTTTCGTTTAGGTTTTACAGTGCATAATTTACAAGTAAGAAAATTCATGAATTGTAAAACGATATCCAGGCGAGACGTACTGTTCATATCTGACCATTAAAGTAAATTGAAACGTTGATACTCAAGGAGAACAAACGACTTATGTAAATTAGATATACTATTTCTGTCGAACTTTGTCCTAGAATTTTTAACTGTTCCTGATTTTTTCCGAGTAGTTCTAAATCCGAAAATCTAATAAGCTTGTCAAAGTTTGAACCAATTGATATCAACAACGTGGCTGATGGAAACTAGGAAATACCGAACATTTGCTTTTGATAGTTGAGAGTACAACAGTAATTAAATGAATTTAGGAGATATAGAATGCTGAATTTTGACTTTACCTGTAAATATGATAGATAGGGCACCGAAACAGCTCTGATATTTTGTCCACAAGAAAGAAGTGGGTCGTTAGTTAGACCTAGATCTCGTGCTTGTTAGCACTTGCCAGTTAGGCGTTTCTGGAATCCCGACGGAATTATTGTCCTGCTTGAGATTGTTTCTGTCGAACTAGCGCCTATCCAAGTGCTCTACTATGATGAGTCTCCTAGCGTGGTCGTAACATTGCAAACTAATCAACAAAATCTAATCAGGACCAGATAACATCAAACTAGTTACTCTCCAGTGACCAATTAATGTAACAAGTTGATCGCCTCATACGTGATCATCAGTTGAACCTACTAAGACTAGTGTTTATTTTACTCTATGCATTCAAATTTTGCATAAACCTTAAACGTTTTCTCATTGGGGTCTAGAGCAGTTTACACCTACACAAACTAGTTGATAGACGGATAACCAATTCTAAATGCTAACTTAGGTGCGTTGATTTAGTTTCCAGCAGTGTCTGACCGTGAAGGGAGCATCCAGAAAGTATATAACGTTAATCAAAGCTCTCTTCCTGAAAACATGAAGCCGTATAAGCGCTCATGGAGATGTCATCATAATAAACGACAACTAGTGGCGTTCACCAGGGATGTTCACTGTCAACGTTCTCACTTAACTTCGGCATCGACCTTCTAATGAACATAACCTCAGGTACGTCTAACTTCACAGGAATTGATTTACTCCCATTGAGGTCATTTAGTTGACTTGAAGTATGCAGACGATATTGTCCTGCTAAGTAAAAATGATGAAAAAATGCAGGGTCTTGTGAACGCATTGGACTGAAATTTGAGTATGTTTAGCTGACATGCGTTTCGCACCTGCTATATGTAAGATGATGCTCCAGCACTGATCTGCCGCAAGGGCTCCTAGTTTAATGACGGGGAGTGAAGTGGTCGAAGGTGTCAACCACTTCATTTACTGAGGGAGTTTCATCAGCGCAGACGAAATCTCAGCTTGGATAAGGAAAGCCGTTCGGCACTTGCCAATTTGCTTCATCTGGCAAGATACCCGACCATCTATCAAAAGACTTGTACACTGTAGTCCGTTCTGTCCTGTTATACAGTTGTGAGACGGCTGTTAAAAGTAGAAGACATGATGCAACTACAGGGTTTTCATTGGCGATATCTTCGTAGCCTTGATCGTGTTTGATGGAATTACCATGTGAGCAATGTTGAGGTTTGGCAAAGGGTAGCAGGTAAGAATGGCAAGCCAATTGATGAGGTTGCGAACCTCAGTCGACTGAGATGGTTTGGATGTGTTGCGCATGCCGATCCACCGCCTATTTACAAATTTGTAACCTCTCGTTTTTCGGTTAATTGCAGGATAGAATTGATAATGACACTTTCTTTTCGTGAGAATGGTCAAAAAAGGGGAGCCAAAATAACATCGAGCTGTAAAATAGTAATCTTACAAGCCAAATTAAGTGGGGTTTTTTTCACAACCATATCAAATTTTATCCTCTAAGTTATACGCACGATCAGATATTGAATCATAAACGAAGTAACATGAATGAACGTTTGCCATTACATGCATAGAAGATAAGCGCCAGAAATATGGAGATAAATATATCAGTTAAAATTGGTCAGAATTTTCTACCTACCGACATGTCAATAAGAGGAAATAACTGAAACGATCTTTCATAAAATGACGTACACATATATGACCAATTGAATGTCCTACTGAAATCCTTGATCTGTGAACATAATACTACTAGTTATCATTAACAAAGTATGCTAGTTTTTATGTACGATAGTATACCTAGAGCAACTACACATTCTCTCTCACGAATTAAACATCTTTCCGCATATATCCCTTATTTATTTGTTGTTTGTGCTTTATATCCATGTGTAATGTCGCTAAATACTTAAAACAATTCGCTCTTTTACAATCTGAAAAATGGAGTAAATCGTGTATGTTGAAGGAAAATGAGGATTACGAAGACGCAGTGTTCTATGTCATCAGTTAGTGTGGAAATTGGCAAACATTAAAAAAAGAAATAATGTAAAACAATTTATCAGAAAGAATGTATCGTTTAAAAACAATCTGACTAGTCATGCCATTTAACATATATACATTGGTTCATTGTTCATTAAAAACAAGTCAATAATGTGAGAAACATACTTATGTACACATATATCAAAGGGTACTGATTTTAGCTGCCTCGGTCACGGCGAAGGGACCAACATAATATGAAAACAAACATTTTATGTACAAATGACGATAACATAATACATTAGCAGATTTCAAAAGTAACATCAAGTAAAATAAAAAATCACAGTTAGTGCGCAGCTTTGGGTTGATGAATAAAATAACATCCACTCCCCTTTGGCAAAAATTAGCTCTTAACCTTTGCATAATGCCACTTAGACTAAAAACAAGGACAGGAAATTAAGATACACACAGGCTAAATCAATCAGGATCTAAATGATCACATGCATAAAGCAAAAGACCAAATGTTCTACAGAAAGATTTACTTCAAGCTGATTGGTTGCCATAATGTCTGAGATGAGAAAAATATATTTTGATAGACAGGCACTAACTTAGACGTTTACTGGTTAGTTCATTAGGCTGAACCAAATAACCTAGTTTAATTTGCAGACAAGTTGGAAGAAGGAAAATCCGAAACAGACTGAGGAAACAAATTAGAAGCGAAAAGTAAATGCATCTTCCTTACACTGTCGTGATCACAGTTAATACATGGGGTATAGAGTTTCCATCAAACTGTGTGAGAGAGCAGGAGCACATACTTGTAATTGACAACGTGAGAAGTCACAAGGAGGAAATATGTGTATAACATACAAGTTCTGGAAAACAGACAGAAAAACCAAAGCATTAGTTCATTAATAATCAACAAATAAAAAGACTGCAAAACCTTCATCTTTTACACTAATTATTTAAGTACAACATTTAAGCAACATCTTGAAAAATGAGATCTTGTTCAGTTTCAATTTTTGAATGCGATGAACAACTTATCACACAAGGTAGAGGAAATGATCTCACTTTACATGCAAAACGGTGACCATGTGCATTTTTCTTAGGTTGTAAGCCTTTATTACCGCTTTGGAACTGACAGCATAAACAACAATAAATAGATAGAAGATGAGTGCATTTCTAACACGGATTCAAATAACAAGTGCCAGTCCAAGTGCAACTAAAAGCCAAACTTAGAGCTTTGAAAAATTCTACAAAAAATTAAATCTGGTTTGATCAGCCTCTTAAACCCCATTCTGTCTCAGAATTCAAGAATCGCACCACGGCAGCTTAATGCAGAAGAGTATCTTCAATCAACCTGAAGTGCATTCAAAACAATATAAAATAATTTACTATGGACCACGCCTAAGTATTCTATGATCTGTTGTTACGCAGATTTCACAATTTACAGATTATAAGAATTAGTAAACGTTTGCACGAAAACCTCAAAGTGGAGTTACGAACCATTGGTTTGCATACTCACCTTCAAACCGATCGGCCATGAGTTCAAACCACGCTTCACACAAAAAGGTCTGGGTAGCCAATCAGTATTCGTAATCTTCAGACAATAGTTGCGGTTCACGACATTGTCTTCTGTACGCACCGTGCACGTAGTCTCTGAGTACACTGTGATTCCGTTCGGCGTTCGACTACCCTGATCGAGGGGTCTCATGGAAGTGCCAATCACTGAGAAGAGTGACGACGAAGCACATAATTCCACAGGAGGCTCTCAAGGCACGTAGCTGTAAAATAAACTCAACACACTGGCTCTCCTTCATTCGCTAAACTTTCTGATTCCAACATAAAGATTTCCAAAACTCGCAGTCTAAACAAGGGAACAAGCCAGCTGGACCACATTCCTAGCCTCCTAAGATTCACACATCAATTTCTTATAAAGGCTATCAACATCAGAACTCTACAAAAATAGACACCAACCATCGATCGCCAAAACTATGGAATCTAGCCAAGATTGTATGCTTTGTCTCTGAGACACGTATACAGAACCCCAGTGTGGCTATTCACTCGACTTCACCTAGCTATAGTAGTGAATCTTCAAAATTCACCTTACGAGTATCCGGAATCCCAGTGGCCAGCTCTCATGGACAAGCTGGTGCGAACACAGTATTGAGCTGTAGTGGAGAAAGTGCACCTCTCGATTGGATACCAGTCGTCAATGGCCGTTTGTGTGTTGTTCGACTGAATGGATCTGTAAGGACTGGGAAGGATCGCGCGACTAGGCAACGCCCATCCGTAATCTCCATCTACGCACCCATCGACTGTAGTTCGTATTATGTAAAGGATGAATTCTATGGGAAGCTGTCAACTTTCTGTTAGAAGGTAAAACGTTCATATATAGTCATAATATCAGGTGACTTCAGCACTGAAGTGGGGAAGTTGAGCCAATCAGAAAGATACCTCGTAGACACTCCAGTAGACAAGTGCATCGCCTTAAGTTGCATAGTCGGAGTTTAGACAGGTGCTCTAAAAAATCGGCAGTCTTTCACTGATCCTCTCCGACGATAGCTTATAGCAAGATAGATCTGTCAGTGCCCATCATTGGTTTGATGTCTGCAGTCACCATGTAAGACAGTGTCTCTGCTTATGCCTGGAGTTACTGCTGGTCAGATATTAGTGACTGTTGGAACAAAATTGAAACAGATGATCACTGTTTGCAGTTAGTTGGCATGGAATCCCGTAAATGCCTCCAAGATGTCTTTCCGATTGGCTCAACTTCCCCACTTCAGTGCTGAAGTCACCTGATATTATGACTATATATGAACGTTTTACCTTCTAACAGAAAGTTGACAGCTTCCCATAGAATTCATCCTTTACATAATACGAACTACAGTCGATGGGTGCGTAGATGGAGATTACGGATGGGCGTTGCCTAGTCGCGCGATCCTTCCCAGTCCTTACAGATCCATTCAGTCGAACAACACACAAACGGCCATTGACGACTGGTATCCAATCGAGAGGTGCACTTTCTCCACTACAGCTCAATACTGTGTTCGCACCAGCTTGTCCATGAGAGCTGGCCACTGGGATTCCGGATACTCGTAAGGTGAATTTTGAAGATTCACTACTATAGCTAGGTGAAGTCGAGTGAATAGCCACACTGGGGTTCTGTATACGTGTCTCAGAGACAAAGCATACAATCTTGGCTAGATTCCATAGTTTTGGCGATCGATGGTTGGTGTCTATTTTTGTAGAGTTCTGATGTTGATAGCCTTTATAAGAAATTGATGTGTGAATCTTAGGAGGCTAGGAATGCGGTTTACCTGGCTTCGATCGTTCGCGATCGTCGCAGAATGAGGTGAGGCTGGTTTTAAGACGCTCAATATTAGTATCAGGAAGTGAAGGCAAAGGAGGCAGCAGAGCTGAGGAGGATAGGTTATATCTGATTGGGTCTCATAGACTTCTGGAAGCGTGCGAACAATTGATACTTACCGCCCGCGCACATCGTGGAAGGCTGTCTTCAGTTACCCGAAGGTGTGATGCGTGACCACAGAGGTCAAGGGCCACCTGCCTGACACAGGTCACACTCGGCCCTACCGGGAATTCGAGAGTTTGGTTTTTGCTTTCGACGCCGACATGTAGCGGTGGGGGAGTGTGCTATTTTGAGACTCTAAATCCCCCTTGCTATAGGCATGGTAGCTTAAGCGTGGCCCTACCAGTTATCCGAGATAAACACCTTACTGCTGTCATACTTCATCCAGCTAGCAGCAGTTTTACTTCGCCATCAGACTCCCCACCCATCATTGTGCAATAATTTACACTACAACGGTAACTGCTTCTTATCTTATCACGATCCAACAGATCTTTCTGGTATGGTAGGACATCAAGGGAACAAGTGTTTCACCAACACAGCTCGATGTGTCATTGTGATGTGCGAGCCCGACAACCACGTCAAAGTAGCAGCTATCGGTCAGAATGGCGCAGATGTGTTCACTCTTTGATATCAACCAACGCGTAAATGTCTTGACTAGTAGCAATTCTTAAATTTTCTCTCCCCCCATGTACCTTTGTTTACTTTGCTGTCTTTTTCGATCCACTTGTTGTTTGTATGCTACAGGGAAGTGTGGTGAATTCAAGTGATGCACTTGTATGCGAGGTTCCACATTAATGTGTACATCTTTCTGTCGGCACACACGCTAACCAAAGATACTTGCCAGAAGGTAAAAATCCAATTGATATGTTGAATACTTTGTAGGAAATATTGAATAGTATACAATAATTGAAAGTATAAGCTAAAGCAGTAAACAGTACTTTTGTAATATCATCTAGTACATGTAGAAATAAGTGTGAACACGAAAAACTTGAGTGACTACACGTTAGTATCTGACATAAGCTTAGACTTACTTGTTGAGTGCACGGATGACAAACATTTATTATGCCAGCAGCGCATTTATCCAGCATGTATTTAATAAATCCATCACATAATATCCTATTCATTCGGATTTGTTCGCTAGTCACAGAAGCTTCTGGAGTTAGAGGTGGAGGAGCTGCTAGGGTAAGACACATACAAAAATCATTTATTTGTCGTAGTTTCCTTTGTACGCCTTCCAGTTGCGATGTCTCTAAACGCATTCGTTGAACTATCTTTAAAGGTTGGTGTAACGACCCAGGAGCGTCCATTGTCACACAAGACCCTAAAGAACTAGAACTAGTAGCAATGTTGCTCACAGCAACTTGTTCTGCTATAACGCCCATGCAACTTTTCATTAGGTCTTGATTACCACTAATATAGTGCATATTGACAAAAACCTCTTCATTTTTCAAAGATAGACGACCTCGCCAAATGACCGGATATTCCTAGGGTGAGAAAGTAGAAAACGTAGCTGTATATATAAGAACTGAGAACAAGAACTGGAGATACGCTCACTTAGCTATCAAATGAAAACTTTTGCCTTAAAATTTGTCAGTACCAATCATAAAATAAATATGGAGAGTGAAATAACTCACTGTATTGACTAGTTTTACCTCGTGTTGGTTGCCAGTTAATGAAATTCTGATAAAATGAAATGTTTTACTTATAAGTAGTCTGATAAAACAAACAGAAATAAGTTTTCATGAAATTTCCCATCTTGGATAATACTGAATGCTTGGTTCAATTTAAAATGAGGATTCAAATCGTGGTACCTTTTAGTCTCATGCAAATTGAATTTTGTAAGAAATAACAATATCTGATACGAATCTTCAGCACTAATATTCTCTAAACACGCAGTATATTTCAATGAAGAAAACTACCTACATAAAGCTGTACTCTCCAGGTCACATAGTCTGAAATCTGAATCGCCTAATATTGATATGGGGATACGTACATCCATTCGTGGTGCTGTAAAGTGTACAGCTTGAACAAATGCATTTGTGTCACGTTTGGCATTGATTTGTCTGTCTGTATGTATACCAACTGATGTAATCCCCAACTGGAAGCTGAACAAAAAACATGCTATCAGTTGCCGCCAAATGACTGGACATAAAATGCTTATGGTGAACTAACGAGATTTAAAAAATACTATGAAAAAAGTTACAATAAGCACACCTGTATTCGTAAATGTGCAGCTGACCACATTTGCAAAAACTGATTCTCAGACAACGCAGCTTTATGGTCCGGATAGGACTCCGATGCTTCAGTCTGTGCGAAAGACGTCATATCTTGTGTTGGTCCAGTCATAGCGGCCATGGCAGCCATCGTTGCTGCGGCCAGATAGTCCGCCGTATCACCACTGACAGATGCATTTGGAATGGACAACTTTTTCAGTGTTGTAGATGGACATAATGGTAACGTCATGTTATCGTTCGGACGTTGGCAGAGAGAGTCACCAGAAGAGATAGATGGACTAAGAGAAGGGCTTAATTGCTTTTGTGTTAATAAGGAATAGAAATATGTAGTGAATGGATTGTTGGCCAGTCGGGCTGCAAACTCTCCAATGCAAGTATTTGTTGAATTAGTAGACAGAGAGTCAGAGGAATTTGGAATTGTTGCATAAGCTGTAAGTGGAGTTATATTACTATTTTTATCCAAGCCAGAACTAGACGAATTCAAAGAAGACGATATATGATGCGCGGAATTAGTTAGATTGGACACTGACTGAGTGGATACAATGGGACTTATTGCAGTTGAAGTGCAGGTATTTTGTGATGTGCACGTTGCAGTACTAGCTGCAACGAAGGTTAACACATGCATAGGTGTTAAAACTGTCGAAGACTGACATGTTGAAGCAATAGAATCTGGAATCCCTTTGCTGACAGACATTGGGCATGAAGAATGGACACCAATATTAAAAGCCTAAAATAAAAATATTGAATAAGTATTAGTACGGAAATAAAACTAAAATATCCTAAGCGGAAAAATGCGTGGAAAGCATGCCGATTTCTAGTAGCTAACTATAACTGCAGTCAACCAAAAAAATAATTTCAATGTACTCAAAGAAAGTCCAGTATCATTATCATCATTAAAACAAGAAATCTGAGTGACACTGTGGCTAAATTGAAAGTCACTCAACGTAGAACAGACAAGTATGCTAACCAAACTACTCAACTTAAGCAACAGAAACAATTTTGAACAGGAAATCCAGCTGAAACTTGACAGAAACTTCAAGCTCAACTGCTTGAATATTTGACTAAGTCTACCTCTACTAATGTAGAGAGATGACTTTAAGTCTAGATATCTACTGGTGTGATGGTTTTCGGTGGACACGTGCTTGAACTACTGTTTTGTCTTGGTTTTATTTTACAATCTAACACTTATTTGTCTTTCTTCTAACTCAAATCAGTCAAAAAACTTAAAGAAATGAAACACATAAGAGAAGCTTTACTAATTAGTAATCAACCTCTTGAATTAATCTAGAAAAATATAAGAATGCATAAAAAAGAAGTAGTGATGTGAACGACAATTGCAACACAAAGACATTCAAGGCCTCTATAGTGTTGCCATATACGGGAGGGACATTAGAAACCGCATGTAAGATTCTAAACACTCAAACCCACAAGCTTACTGAGACAAAGTTTGTCGGTTTGAGGAATGTATTGCATCAATAAGACAGAATAAATGAATTTGAGAAATACCTTGCAATGACTGTGAGGCCAATTAAATAGGCTCGACAGATAGCTGCTACCTTGACGTGGTGCTCAGGCTCGCACATCCCAATGACACAAAGAGCTATGCTGGTTGAACACCTGTTCCCTAGAAGTCCTACCATACCAGAAAGGTTTGTTTAATAGTAGCAAGATGAAAAGCAGTTACCGTTGTGATGTAAATTACTACACTATGATAGGGGTCTGAGGGCAAAGTAGTACTGCCGCTGGTTGGTTGGTGTGACAGCAGTAAAGTCTTTCCCTTGGATGACCAGCAGTGCCATACTGATGCTGCCTTCTCAGCGAAAAAAGGGGGAGGGGGTTAAAAAAAGATCGGCCCTAAAAATAACACACTCCACCAACCACAGTTTGCCGAGCCGGCGAAGTTGGTCCATTTATCGTCTCTTTCCGACTATCTGGCCCCAAAACGACAAAAGTTCAAAACAAGAATACACAAAAGGCTGAGCATGACAGGCTTTAATGAGATGTCCGATGGGCTCTGTAGCCACACAAATCTCTTTCAGATACCTTCCACGGTGTGAGCAGCCAGGAAGTGTCAACCGCCCTCACAACTGTCAGCGCTTAAGTCCCCTCAGACCATTATCCACCTCCCTCATCTTTACCGAATTATCTTCCTTCACATCCCTCACTTAACAATCCTACATCACCGTTAATTTCTTCTAGCTCTGAAGCTTTCGACAACGACCTGAATCCACAGAACAGCATCCTTGGACCCCTTAAACCACGCTCCAAATTACACATCAGAGCCTCCATAGTCTGTACCATCCGTCGAATTCGCCTACAACCTTCACTGGTCAAAACTCTAGTAACGTAGGTCATCGATGTATGCTCTGTTTGTGAGACACGCATACAGGACCCAAGTGCGGTTAATCACCTAACCTCTCCCAGCCAGTATGGTTAATTTGCAAACTTCACCCTCCGAGTTTCTGCAGATTCGTCAGCTAGCTCTCGTCGTCTTCCAAGTGTAGCCATAGCATTAAGAACTACGGCAGAAAACTCACCACTACACTCGATACCAGTTGACAGTCGCTTTTGCACTATCCACCTGAACGGTAATGTGAGAACTAAAAGGAATAGTAAAACTCGCCGTTTTCTCTTTGTAATCTCTGCTTACGCACCCACTGACTGCAGTCCCGATAAACTGAAGGATGAGTTCTACCAAAAATTGTCTAGCTTCTTTCTGAAAGCCGAACGTTCAGACACGATGACTGTTAAAGGTGATTTATATGCACAAGTAGGGAGACTGAGTCAGGCACAAAAGCACTTAGGTCGCACTTTCGGAGTCCCAGCTGAACGTACAGATAACGGTGATCACCTACTACAACTGTGCTCAAACAAACGTTAATTTCTAGCTATTACAAACTTCAGACATACAGAAAGACATTGTCTGGCGTAGCGTCCACCGAGTTCGACTCAGCGATGGACACAGACAGACCACATTGCTATCAGTCACTGCTGGAGAGGATCGGCCGAGGACTGCCGCTCCTTCTGGAGTACATGCTTGGATAGCGACCACGCGTTGGTTCGATCGCGTATATGCCTGCGACTCAATGGACGTAAAAAAAATTGGCAACAAGACAATTGCGAGTGCTGCTGGACAACGAAAACACCAAAGCCGTGTTCAGTGAGAAGTTGCCCAGGCAATTATCGTGACAGAAGACTAACACTCATCCAGAAGAAGCTTGGTGCCATCCCCAGTCTGCTGTAAAAGCAGCGCTGAAGACCGTAACCGACTCCGAAAGAGTGGATATCAGCAGCTTCCTCCAAACTAATGAATGCACGTGAACCCATCCCTGTAGGCCCCGAGTACAATGAAGAACTAGCACAACTTTAAAGTAGACTGAGAAAAAGTCCACCCAACGACTGCGAACAGTGGTGAGCAGGGAAGGCTAAAGAGATGGGAAAGTCAGTGGTGATTGGTAGCAGTAGACAGTTATTTAGATTTATTAAGGAAACTAGGGTGGAAAGGTCAACAATAGTGAGGCTATAGCGGAAAAGGACGGATCTGCGATTCACTCACAGAGGAGATGACTGAAACGATGGGCAGAACACTTCGAGGAATAGTTTAACTGGCCTCCAGACCATTATTGCGTTGCCCGCTGTCCAGTCGGATCTTGAATGGAACATTGAGATAGGCTCCCCAAAACTAGCAGAAGTTCAGAAAGCTGCAGGTAACTTGCAACGAGGAAGGGCAGCAGGACCAGACGCACTAACTCCCGAGGTAAACAAGGATGGTGGTAAGGTGCTCCTAGTCAGGTTAACGGAAGTGTTAACCAGTAAATGGGAATCAAATAAGATCCCCTCCGACTGGTCTAAGTCACTGATTATCCCAGTATTCAAGAAAGGCGAGAAGTCCTCTAGTGATAACCACAGAGGAATCAGGCTGACTAACACTGTGTCTAAGATCATAGGTTATATAATTCTTTGACGTCTGAGCGGAGCTCGGGAACAACAAGCCCGAGAAAACCAGGCAGGCAGGCAGGCTTTAGACCCAGCCGCGGGTGTATCGACCAAATATTCACACTGCGCTAGGCTCTGGAACACAGACACCCTTACCGATGCCCAATATTAGCTTTTTCTCAACCTGAAGGCGGCATTCGACTCCGTTGGCCGAGAACTCTTATGGCAATGTCCCTCACTGGAAGGCCTGTCGAGTATGTACACCACCTTATTGAAGGCTCTCTACTAGAATACATATGGGCTTGTGAGAGCCTATGAAGAGATGTCAGGTGAGCTATGCTCATCGAGTGGTGTCTGTCAAGGCTACCCACTCTCTCCATTCTTATTCAATTTTATCATAGATATTCTTATGGAGGTTTCCCTCTCGTCACCTGATTACACAGATGTTGACCTAATCACAGGAGAATTTTCGTTAGACCTAGAATATGCAGATGATATAGTCCTATTATGTGAAGACGCTGACAACATGCAGAGTCTTCTGAACACTCTGAATGGCAAGTTGAGAATGTTTGGGATGCGTTTCTCATCACCCAAATGCAAATTGTTGATCCAGGATTGAGTGGTCTACAACGGATATCCACCACGGCTAACAATAGAGAGTGTAGTGGTTGAGTGTATCGACTACTTCACTTACCTGGGAAGCGGGATCAGCCCTACCCTGGTGGCTCAGTGGCCGATGAAATCTATACACGGATACAAAAGGCTCAATTGGCTTTCACCAACTTACGCCACCTGTGGCGCCGCTGTGATATCTGATTGTCTATTAAGGGTCGTGTGTACTGCACAGCAGTCCTTTCTGTTCTACTGTATGGCTGTGAAACATGGTCATTGAAGGTGGGAGACATGAGAAGGCTTCAGGTGTTTGACCACCACTGCCTTCGTAGTATAGGCCGTATTCCATGGTGTCACCACGCGAGTAACGCAGACGTCACGTGTAGAGTTTTAGGAAGAAGTAAGTCAGTTGACGAGGTTGTGAACTTTCATCGACTGAGATGGTTGGGGCATGTGTTACGTATGCCTAGTCACCGTCTGCCTCGTCACACAATGTTGGTCGAAGTAGGTTCAGGCTGAAAAAAAGCCTGAGGTGGCCAGACTAAAACATGGCATCAATGTATGAAGTCTTTGGCTGTTGGTATGAGCCATGTGGGGCGATGCAAATGGCCGGTTGGGGTCCATAGAACAAGAGGAACCAGTGGTTGGAGACGCTAGGTGATATGGCACAGAAGTAATGTCAGTGGCGCAGATGTATAGACACTTTATCCTCATCCTAACGCTTTACCGAATCTCACCATTTTCCCTTTTTTTCGTACTTTATATTTCTTTAAGCTGAATTTCCTTTTCTTCATCTTCCACTTCATTGACGTTTTACTTGATGTACAGACATGAGCTGTGGCAACTCGGACCGTTACGCAGTAATGCCTAGTCCTATGTTGGTGATGATGATGCAATTTAATAGGTCAAACTAGCTGATTGGGGTTAGTTAGTTTAATAGAACAAAGGAATCTAGCTAAGCATAGATTGATAGACCTTGATAAGATAAGAAATTTAGAGAAGAATTCAGTCATAGCCATGCATGCCATAACATACAACCACACAGCAGGATAGGAGGAGTTACAGTTCTGAAGGCTAATGTAGCTAAGTGAAGCTTAACACACCCAATGAAAAGAATGCAACACAAGTTCCAGATGTGGAAAATTTTATTGCCAATCAAAAATTAAAGTGAAAAACAATAGGGCTATAAAAAAACGAGACCAGAAAGTTCTGTGATCACCTAGACATGACTATAAGCAATAAATTTTGCTTGGAAAGTCATCTTGCAAACAATGTTATATCACTGTGTGCGATGTAAAACTGACTAGTCCAATATGGAATCACATTCTACCAATGTCCAAGATCTACACTTAGAACAATGTTCCACCATCTTATGATCACATGTAAACATAATACTCATTTCATCAAAATGTCATTGCCAAGAAGTTTTAAAAGGAAAAATACTACTCAAATGAATCTCTGTTGATAGTTGCCAACGCCCCGTTCAACTGAACAGCACAACGAAGACTAAAGAGTGGAGAAGCTGGACTTTGTATTCGCCGCTTATACTGTAGTGGGAGTTGCTGATAACAACGGACATAAGTAGTATATATCGAGAGGGTGGCAGGAATCATGGGGAATTACCGGCAATGGGTAAGGTTTCTGCCAAGAGCAACGCAGGGGGACAACACAGGCGTATTACAGGGGATGCTGCTGATGAGAGTGTATGAAGAGCCGGTCAAGAGCAAATCAAGACAGGAATGGAGAGGAAATGAAGATATTTGCAAATGGCTGCGTTAGTGCAAGGAGTACCATATGTAACCACTACCATTCCGTCATATGCTTCTTCGCTCTGCCCCGAAGCAACGTCCCCAGCGCCATGACCTTCGCCTCCGGACCCCAAACCCCCACCAGCTCCGCTACCGCCTCGAAGTCCTTGAGGAAGACCTTGATGTCTCCACCCTCGAACTCTGCAGGCCATGGGATCTTCATCACGTTTAAAGGCAGCGATACCAATTGAAGAACAGAAGACAACTCGACGAGAGAATGTTTATTACGAACAATTGGAATGGTAGTGGTTACATATGGTACTCCTTGCACTAACGCAGCCATTTGCAAATATCTTCGTTTCCTCTCCTTTCCTGTCTTGATTTGCTCTTGACCGGCTCTTCATACACTCTCATCAGCAGCATCCCCTGTAATACGCCTGTGTTGTCCCCCTGCGTTGCTCTTAGCAGAAACCTTACCCATTGCCGGTAATTCCCCATGATTCCTGCCACCCTCTCGATATATACTACTTATGTCCGTTGTCATTAGCAACGCCCACTACAATACAACCACTGACTAAAGTTCAGAGGAAGAGAAAGTCGACTTTTACCCATATAGACTTAGGAATGAAATTAGAAATATTGCGCAGTTTACAGTAGCATATAACGAACATATGGGTAGAGAACGAATGATATCAAATTAGAAAAAAGTATATGGGAGAAGGGATTTGAAAATGGAAACTAGTGAGAACATTCAAGCCTTAGAAGACGTCAAAGAGTGAATAAACCTGCACCATTGCAACCCATTTACAGCCGTTTCACCAAAAGTCCTCAGCCACTGATTCGCATGATCTCGAGGACCTCAGTCTGGTAGTTTACATTCCCCTACACGGCTCACTCAGAGAACTCGAGGACTGGTACTACGTCTCGGTTTAGACACCCAGAGCTCCCCCAACACAGTTCATCTTCTGTTAGCATTGCACATTACGGTACAAGGTGGTTCAACATGCGCGACATATGCCCGAACTACTTCAGTCAGTGGGGGATTCACATTTTCGACCGTCTTACCTAGTACCCTTCGCCTAGCCTTTAACATTGCTCACAAGGAAATTCCACTACACGCGACAAATGCTACGAACATATACCTGTGAGTGGTGACAGACCTATCCCTTCGTACATTCTGCCGAAAACTACATCGCCTTCAAATAAAAGTCAAACGTTCAGACATGGTTGTCGCAGAAAATGATTTTAATGCACAAGTGGGTAGGTTAATTCAGGCAGAGGGATATTTAGGTAGCACTTTCGGAATCGCAGCCAAACAAAGAAAACCGATCAATTCCTAAAACTTTGCTCAAACAACTTTTTGAACAGAAGGAACTTCAAATATAAAGAGAGAAATTGTCTGACGTGGTTTCCACCATCCTCAACTCAACTGTGGGCACAGGATAGACGACATTGATACCAGTCATTGCTGGAAGATTCCCTACTCCTTCTCAAACACCTGTTTTGACAGTGATCACACATATCTGCACTTCAATGGACGTAAAGGAAATACAACAGCAAAAGCGTTGCCAGTGACGTTTGATCACGAGAACACTAAAGCTGCTTTCAGCGAGAAACAGACTAAGAAGTTATTGGAACAGAAAAAAATCATTCATCCGGAAGAAGCGTAACGCTATCTCCGGTCTGCTGTAGAAACAGCTTTGAATACCGTAACTGACTGTCAGAAACTTATGGGAAAGTGCAAGTGGATCTCAGCAACTTCTGAATTAACTGATGCATAGGGATGCATTCCTGCAGGTTTCGAACACAATGAGCCGACGTAACTTCAAAGTAGGTTGACAAGAAGTCTACGCAATGACCACAAGCAATAGTGGGTAGCGAAAGCTAGAGACGGAAAAGGCAGTGCTGATAGGTAACAGTGGACAAATTTCCGCTAACACTGAAAATATTTAATGACAGATAACGCTTATTTAGGGTTTGTTAATATTGGTTCAAACATTACCAATCATGAGTTTCTCTAATAGAGCGTAAGCTGTTACTGAAGTCTTTACTTTCTTCAAAAGTTTGCAGGTAAAAAAAACCCTGATATTTGAGTGACCAAAACTATGAGTCCCAATCGGAAAACTAAAAATGTAATTCAATAACATCCATGTTTTTGAACCACACAATGAGATCGGAAGCAAAGAAACGACCTTAGCAACCCAGTGCACGTTTATGCACTAAGCAACGAAACACACACTGTGTGAAGACTAGTGGTACGATCTGACGGCCCAAACCTCAGTAGATGGAGTGGTGTTCGAACATGCGGCCTGGTGGTTGAAAGTTGACTACCTAGACCGATGAGCCACAACTCCACTACAATGAGAATACTTTTAATGTGCGAGTAAATGATACTATATGACTGCGCAAATTTCGATGTGATGCGGAGTTTGAACTTGTAACCAACTGGTTGAATTCAAACTGTATAGTCCGTTAGGTCATAGCTTGATACACGAGGAAATAAAGCAAAAATGTAAGCCAATGGACGTATTAAAGTTCAAGTGCTAGAAACTTGATTGCATCTACTTCATCATAAAACAGTTAAGTGCGGCTACATAAATACGAAGGTTCAAATGTTAAATACACCTAGAAGGGACGTTCACTCAACAAAAGTTAATGTATTCATCATATTAGCTAATACACTCAATATTAATTACTCCACTTCCGTTATATAAAAAATTATGCGGAGAATTAACGTAAAATGTTGTACCAAATAGTTAGGAAAGCTCATGTGACTCACCGAGTTAGGTGAACCTGCGTAAACAGACTCCGGAACATTAGGTTGATTGAGTTCGCCTTTCATCGAAGAATTTTCAGGTAATAGTGTGACAGTATCGGAATGGCTGGACGGGGAGCCAATACTACCAGAGAGAGTACGATAGTGACCATTAGGAACAAACGCTCCTTTCAATAACTTTAGTACGTATTCCTTTTCATCGAATTCTCCATTTACCACAGCTTCAATGGTTTCATCAACTGGATCTCGAGAATGAGAATCATTGGTAAAATTATTGCACCCAGAATCAAGATGATTTTGTTCCGAATAAACATCCGTTATGAAGTGCGGTGTCTGTATATTTGTCGCACTGGGTGAATCCAAAATACTGTTAGATTGAGGATTTGGACTGAACGTGTTCTTGATAGAAATGGGATTACATTCTTGAGCAGTAGAACTATTTGCACTGCACATTGATATCATGACATTTTTATCATCAAAAACACTTACACTTTGTGATTTGAGAACGTCAGTGGCTGATACTGACGGTGAAGAAATCACAGAAGATAGAGCCGTGGTTATTGGTGAGAAAACACTTGGACTAGTGACAGTAGCAATAATGTTGGTGTAATTTATAGATGTCGAAGCAGAAGACATTGATATGTTAGCATTCCTTCTAGGACGTTTCACTTTTTCTCTCTGTTGCAATATTTCTTCATCCTTCTCTTGCTTAACACGCTCAATTACACGCTGGACATATGAGGTAAAATCAGATGGATCAAAAGAGGTATTACCAATTTGAGATTCAGATGCAAGACACGGATGAGATGTAGGAATGCCATTATCCAATGAAGAATTAGAGGAAACAGACGGCATAGCAATTACGGTAGTTTGTGAATATGTCACTGCTTGACTGGTTTGAGTAGTCGGAGGATGAAGCGACTGACAACTGGTCAAAGTAACACAAGTGAAAGGTGGAGGTGAGCAGGCTACCACTAGCGAAGGATATCCTGGTTTAGTAACAGCCACATTCGGCGTTGCACTGATGTGTGAATCCGATACAACAGAAGATACAGCAGTCAGTGAATCTCCAGAGAGTGAAACACTAGTGGTTGGCAAAATAACGGCAATATGGCATTGAGACACTGAGTTGACACTAGAAGACAGAGATGAACAAGAATTTGATCCCGAATTATCTGCACTAGTCAGCAGTGCGAGTTTTGATGAACTCAAGTTGCCAGCTGATGTTGTGGGAACGGCGACTAACATTGGTTGGTGTGTATTTTGTAAATCAGATGGTTGCGGAGTAGCAGACATAGTCACCGAATTCAAAGCAGTTGACTGAATAGTTACTGAGTTTACTGACGAGGCGGCATTAGACATGACAACTGATGACACATCAAAAGAAACTTTTCCATGCAAACTACTAACATCAGTATTGGAAGCGCTACATGCATCTAGGAAAGGTTGCTTAGCCTCTTCATTTATAGGTGACAGAGTCAACTCAACTATAGACTTGGTGACGATTGGGAAATTTTCGCACAAGTCACTTTTTATGGACGTGTCTGTTATCAGGTGTCCTTCATCTGAAACAGGAACTTCTAAACTATCGTAAATAACTTCTTCAATTATATCTGAAACAGTTCCGGTCGATACAAGCACCGTATCTGAATAGCTGAGTTGATCAACTTCTGAAACCACTGGAGGAGGTAAATCATCATCATTATACACATTTAAGTTTTTGGTATTATTACTGAAACTATCACTCTCATGTAGTAGGATAGATGATTCATAAGGATTGTTTAGTTCATCATCATCATGCTTCTCTAAGCAAGGTAATTCGTCTTCTGTATCATAAGACATATCAACTGCAGCATTCGCTGGTGTGCTATCACTATCAACAGCACGTCCCGATGAAGATAAATTTTGTTGCATACTATCATCCTTTATTGGAGTTGACTGTTTAGCGAGAGAAGAAAATATGTTCCAATCACTATGATCACGAATTTGTGACTTGGTAGTTATTCCACCGTTAGAATATTGATCACCGCTAAAACTAGAGTCAGTCATTGGAAGAGTGGGTGGTGTTGGTCTTGAATCCTCAAAATTTGGTGAAAACTTCAAGTCGGAAGTTTGAGGAGCACTTTGTTTGACAACCGCGTTGCAAGGAGAATCAGTTTTAAGACACATAAACGGTGCAGTAAATGCTCCAAAGGTATGACGTATAGCAGCATCGGCACGAAGGTCTTCAGGGCTACAAGAACGACTCATGCGTGGTGAAGGAGACTTGGATTTCATGGGTTGACAACTTCCTCCTTCTTGAGTAACCTCCTTTTTATCTGTTTTTTCTTTGACAGAATGAGAAACCTGATTGTTGGACGCGGACATTTCGTCCTCGGAAGCTTCAGACATTACAGAAGAGGAAAGCGAAGACGAATCTGTTGACGCAAATACACGATGAACTAAGCTACGATGACTATTCTTCACAGAGAGGCGCTTACTCTCACTTGAGACGTTTCTTTGTTTTTGAGATCGCAATCGAACAGTTGAACTCATGCGACCTGACATAGTTTTACTTTCATTCCCATGTGTGGTATCATTTTCCTCTGTAATGCATAGCTTCTTGCGACGGATTGATCGATAACCCGAAGCATTATTTTTCTGAAGCTCACCTTTATGTTTACGTTTAACCTGAATGGTTATTGAACGAGACACATCCAAAACTTCAGACTTTTTGGCTCTTCGACTTCGAGTTTTGTGTGAAGATTCATTTGATGATATTTCAGACTGAGCGACAATCCTTTTTCGCTTGGGTGATAAACTGGTCAACGCTGATGTCTTAACCCCACTCGAAGTTGAGACTTTCTGTTTAACGGACTTTCCTAGCGTTTCATTCGACAAAAAACTGGATTTCCCCGTGCGCTTCGATACTACAGTGGAAGTGTTATCAGAATGGTTTGATGAACCATCGCTTAAACATTCATCAGTATCAGAATCAAGAGATTTGTGAGTATCTGCCTTTTTGGACTGTTTACCCTTAACTTTGAATAAGCGTTGTAAAACACTTGGCTTCACTAGAGAATCAGTAGACTTTGTTGTACTTTGGTTAGCTCGGCGCTTAATTTTATCATACATTGACTCGTAGTTAGACTCATCAAGTAAATCACAAGAGTTAGAACTCATGACAGCGTTTTGTTCCCAATCAGAATCTTCACTATCGATAGTCTTCTTTTTAATCTCCCGGATTATTTTCCTTTTCCTAGAATGTGGTGAAACTGTTTTCTTTTCCAGAGATGACAAAAGACGGTTGTTGGAACCAAGCGTAGACTGGCTATCGTCACTAGTCAATTGAGGTTTGCAATTCGGAGTGGAATCTTTTTGCATGTTGCTTTCAGGGACGAATTCCGATTTCTTGGAAACGTTCTTTGAAGATGTTTTCTCTGGAGCTTTGATTTTTAGTAGTGATAGGTTCCCTAAATCTTTCCTGTCTACATTAGAAATCACTGTTTCTTTAGGTTCAAATGTAGTGGTGGGTTTTCGCTTTGTTGGCATTAATAGAGTGGAGCAGTCAAGTTGCTTCTTCAAACGGTTGGTTTTACATGTACTACTCCCCAAGGAATTCTGGAAAACAAAATCATCTAAAGCAGATCTTGAAGAATCATTTTTCTGGATTTTCTTAGCATTAGTTACCGGTAGGCTCGAAAGTGATGTCGGTTTACAACTATCACTAATAATCAAATCATCCTGTGGTGATGACTTGGAACAGGCAACAGACTGCGAACTAGTAAGCTTTTGATTTGTTTTGACAGGTAATGCACTAGCTGATCCTAAATATGAAGAAGCAGAGGGTTCGGTAATTTTACCGGTTATATCAACACTCTTTTGGTTATCACTAACAATTAGTGGTAAGGTGACGTTAAAGTCCGTTGAAGTATTCATGACAGAATTTGGTAGGATCGAAGATTCGCATTTCTCCACATAATCCATACTTTCTTTCCTTGTGTTAAGCTTGGTGTTACATTTTGCCACTAAATCGTTGTCTTCAGCTTTTGATAAAATGTCAGATACACAGGATAACCTTACTGATGGCATTCTAGTAGCCACACCCACAGGTTGAGCTCCGGATAGTGAACTATGTTCAAGATTACAGACAGTGGCATGGATACGATTGTTGTTCGCAATCGGCAGTTTATTGCAAAAAGAATCAGATGATTGGATAGAGTTCGTCGAGGACATACTATTAACAATTGAGCGAGGTAAGCGGGAGAGGAACGAGTTTGTACAGAGTGAAACTGTGGCCGGATGTCGAGCAACCGGCATTACCTCGTTTGAAAACAAATTATTTGGCGTATCATTGCAGGGAGTTGAAGGAGATGGCTTAGAGAAAGATAACATACTTTTTACGAATTCCGAAGTGTCCGCTGGTTTTACTAGAGATAAGGGTGTTGTAGAAGACAAAATGGGAGACTTCGGAACAGTGGTTGCAGATGAAGAAACTGGCAGGCTAGGATTAACATTGTCTGTGACTGCAAGTTCATGGCGAGTACTGACAGAATACGTTGAAACAGTTAAAACAGGAGAGTGAGGTGAACAAGAAATAACTGAAACTCCTGAAATACATTGCGTTGCACCGTTACTTTGAGTGGACTGTGAGGTTGAGCCAGCTTCTGTTTTACGTCTAATACGAAATTTGCTATAATCCACGGTCGGCCTAGCCTTTTCAGATTTCATTAGTTGAACGTCTAAAAGTCGAATACGTTCATCAAGTGAGCATACACTAGAGTCATGAATGGAAACGCCATGATCAACATCATAAATAGATTTGGTTACAAGAGGAGACTGTGGTTTCAATACAGAGCTTGAAATTGAGTTGGAAATCACATCTGCATGAGGTGAAGTATCAACCCACAATGGTAATTTGAAAGTTTCTGGCGGAGGTGGGGGAACGTCGCAAGGCAACTGATTAATATGTACAGCCAGACGAGGATCTCTGCTACAAGAGTTAGTGACTGAAGATGCAATGGATCCAGATGTGGAAGGTGTAGGGACGGAGGAAGAGAGAAAAGCATTAGGTGTTGAAGCATACGATTTATCCATTACTATCGGCGAACTGGGAGGTGAAATGTGTATCATCGGTGAAGTGGGTTCCGGTGGAACAAGCATTCTTGGAGATGATGTCATCAGGGCAGACGGTCGACTAACCGATAAATCCAAACCGTGGGTGATGGTATTAACAGACAAAGCTGTGTACCGAGAGCTGGCACTAAGACTACGTATATCATGAGCCGATGGAGGCTTGGCTAAAGGGTTTTTTTGACTGGGTGATGTAGCATCGTTTCGATTTGAATGACTCTCCGTCGATAAAACATAAACGTGCTTGTCGTTACCCTCTTGTGTAGAAGTAAGTATTGAGCATTTTGAATCATGTGAGGTTGTTATACGCTTCAGAGAATGCGAATTAGAAGTGAACTTCTTAGTTCCAGGACTTGTCAAGCCATCACTGATGAAAGTTGGACTTTGAGTTAACACAAAATCACATTTTGCAGTACTTTCAACACACCTAAAACAGAATAAACAGGTTTGACAGTTTTACCAAGAAAGGATTACATAATTCGAGGGTAATAATAATTTTGTGAATAACTGCATCCAACGTAAATTCTACCAACTGATACCGTTTGTTACAGAGCAATAAAACAAAGGAAAGTAAGACAGGAGTAAAACATGTAGATTTATCGGATAATTACACATTGTAACACCGCTTTTCACAAAACAACAAGCAAGCAATCATAAAGGCAGATGATGAAAACAATAACTTTGATTTACACTATTGATAGCATGAAAAGTGTGAATGACACAAAAATCACTACATAGTTACAACCCTGGTGATAACCTTGTGTAGGCTGTTATACTGATATACTAATACTAATATATTGAAAACCCTTTCGTCACACCCAGATATATATATATATATATATATATATATATATATATATATATATATATATATATATATATATATATATATATATATATAGTGCTCGTTGAACAAATCCGAGAATGAATAATTGTTATGCGACTGCCCAATGTTGAAAATTTGTAATGAAGTGACTATTGCAAGTATCATGCCTTAATAAACTCTACCCTAAGATATCTCGAGTGGAAACATAGGTACATTTGGCAAGAGTGCAGTCGTTCCAAACTAATTATATTCTCCCACCAGTCAACTATGCTATTGTATGATAGGACATCTTCACACTTTAGAAGTTACAATCAATATTTAAAGCTACACAATTTAACTGGACGAGACAATATCAGTAAATATCGAAACTCTTGGAGATAAAAAGAATGAGTGTAGTAAAAACCGATATTATGACTATTATATTATTCATTTGCTACAGTGATATGGGTATATTAGTTTCCCTTGAACTATCGAAATACTTCAGTAAACAATGTAAGAAAAGGTTGGAAACAGGAAATCTATGCAAGAATTCAAGAACTTACTTTAATTTCGGTGAGGGGAGATCATTAGCGAACAGTGATGATGGAGCACGCTTCCTGCTAGAACTTTCAACATTCGGTGTGTAATTGCTTCCCTTTCCCCTGCCTCCACCGATGACCTCGTTATTCAACAAAGATAGTTCTCTAAGTAATTTGGCTCTTTCCATTTCGAGCTTTGTTAAAGTATCATGAGACTTAGATGTGATAGGAATATCAGAACAAGATGCGCTATTTACAGCACATGCATATGTTTCGTCCGTTTTGTTGTAGTGTAGGTCATCAGGTGATATGGGGCTCATATTAGATGTGTTTGGTCGTCTGGTATATTCGGAATCCCTATGTACCGATGAGACTGTTGATAGCGAAACTCGCTTTGACTTTGATGAAGTATAATTTGGACTCGTATAATCAGCATCCAGAGGTTTAAGTGGCAAGCGACCCTGGGAATGAAGATTAGTTTTGTTATGCTTAAGACTACTGTTTTCCTCCAAAAACTCGTGACAACCCTCTCCGTGACTCAGGTTCCTATCTAAGGCTGAAGTTGTGCGGTGCTGAGATGACGACAGTCGAGATCTTCCGATAGACGTGTGAGTCATATTTGTTCTAAATTGCGGGCTTGCACTGTCCCTTGTCTTTTGAATATGCTTCTTGCTTGACGAATATGAATAGTCCTCAAGGGGAGCCACTTCATAACGGTTAGAGCGAACACATTTCTGTAATGAAACGTCAACATCTGTGTTTCTTCGTTTGTCACCAATCAGAATATGGTCTCGAGACACATGTGAGGGCAATTTTGAGGCTGGTGCCGAGTAGTCTGAACTGCTGTTACTATGCCTCAAGGAAGAAGCTTCGAAAAAGCTATCATCATTTGTATAGCCTGAGGAAAAAGAACCACTACTAACATCATCTGTCTCTTCAAGTAATTGACCTCTATTTCGAGAGTTTGACTGATCTATATGTGAGCGAGAAACAGAACCAGATTTGTTTTCAGCTTGCGACAAATAACGTAATGATTTTGATTTGGTATGAATATCGTTATGCTGATACTTCCTATGAGATGGAACAACTGGCCTGTCTTCAATTTGTAAGCTTTTTAAATCAGATTTTCCATGGTGTGAATTCCGATTATTATGTGAACCAACCCAGTTAGTGGATAACCTATAATCATCAGGAGAACTCGTAATAAAAGTTCGTCTTCGATCAGACTGATGTGATCGGCTACGAGGAGAGACCGGTGATCCACATTTGTTTCTGTTAGATTGTTCGTACTTCAGAGGACGATCTACTGGACTACCACGAATGCAATTTGACCGCCGGTAAGAAAATTTCGTATTGCCACTTGGAAAATGATCTCGTTGATTATCGCCAAAGTGCCTTCGAAAAATGAAAAATAAATATCATATGAATTAAAACGCTGCACTGAAAACAGTCCATACCTACATACCAAAACTGAAAGTAAACCGCCGAGTAATCATTCATCAAATGCTAAAATAATCAGTCTACCGACACTAACAAACTTCGGACGATTTTGTAAACGTAACATGAAACAGAACATAAGTACTACCCACGAAAAAATTAAAAACCGTATTCAGTATCCCGACCAACTAAAAAATTAAAAGAACCTTATTAGGAATTAAAACAAGTTGTGCGAAGATAATATCAGTTATCAGTTTTTCCCTAATGACCGGACATTACTATGATGTAGGACTTAGTGTTTCCAAATACAGTGAGTCTTCCACACTAACGTTACTGGGTCGGTAAACTCATGAAGTCCTACTGCGAGTAGAAAATCGGTTGAGTAATTAAAATAAAAACAGCAGCGATTACACTTTAAAAGAACCACATTGTGATGACAGCTTGAAGTCGAAGTCGAACTGCTGACTGAACAGAGATAATACCGAATAATAGTTGACACTTGAAAGTGGTGGTTGAATGTGCATATGGCAGTCACCCAAATCAGTTGGAATGATTGTTTCCTGAAGCTTTACAGTATCACAAAGCTCTGTCGGTTAGTGATGATATTGAAAGCGGCTACAGTCTGCAAACAATTCACACTTAAGTGAAAATCTAAGGGGAAAGTCACACTCCTGATCAGACAAGGGTGCACTGGATGTAGTTTTTGCCGTGAGCAACCAACAACTTGGATGAAATGCGTTCAAAACAAGCAAATGAAAGGTTAAAAATGATCAGTCTCGAAAGCTGTGGACTTCATCTTGCCTTACAACTTATCATCACCATGGGTTAGGTTTTTCAAGTAAGGATACAACTCCACAAGTACGAATAGCCATAGAGATCGCATGTGACTAGCATCAATTTTCAGGAGCTCAACGGTCACGAAAAACCAATCAACTCTCCTCCAACTGCTTTATCGGAAAATAAAAGTGATTCACTCGTCACCTGATCTCTTCAGCTTTTTCTGCGATCCTTTCCCCTTATCAACATTACGAAACATAATACTTGTTTTATCTTGATGTAACGACTCAAGACAATCAGATTTAGCTATTAGTCACCTAAATCTACAGAAATGACGGCACAGAGCAGTTTTCGAAGTTCAAATCCACCGTAAAAAATTTAATAGGAATTCTCAGTCAAAGCTGTCGACCACTCATCCGTTTACATATGCTGTCTTTCTCAGACACATGAAAGAAAAAATCAACGTAGAACCTCGCATACAAGTGCATCAGTTGGATTCGTCGCAATTCCCAGTAGCATACTAACAACAAGTGGATAGAAAACTACTTATATCAAAGTAGTCAAAAGTGTGTGGGGGGAAGGTAATTTAAAAATTACAACTAGTCAGAACATTCACATGATAGAAGATATCAAAGAGTGGACACAGTGACCGATCTTCAGCCATTTCGCCAAGAGTCCTCAACCACTGGTTGCTATCGTCTCCAGGACACCAGCCAGTCAGGATCCATATATAAACGCTTCTCAAATCAACGGTCAGGGACTTCATGTACGAGTATAGCGTCTTAGTCCAGGCACCCTGGTACCTCCAAGTCAACGTAGTATATTTTCTCCAACGATGACTGATAGCAGTGTGGTCTACGTGTCCAAGCTCAACTCAGAGATAGACACAGATAGACCACATTGCTATCAATCATCACTCGAGAGGATCGGTGGAAGACTATCCCTCCTTCTGCAGCACACGTTTGCATAACGACCACACACCCGTTCAAGCGCCTATATATCTACCCCCCAATGCACGTGGAAAAACCTTACCAACAACAACATTACAAACGCAACTAGATAACGAGAACAATAAGGCCGCTTTCAGCAAAAAACTATCTAAGCAGTTATCGAAACACAACACTACCACTCATCTACAAGAAGCTTGCTGCTGTCTACAGTCTGCTGTAAAAACAGAGTTGAAGACCGGAGCTCAAGTTCAAACAGTGCTTAAAAAGAGCCAATGGATATCACCAGCTTCTTCTGAGTTAATAGATGCACGAAAACGCATACACCCACAGGCTCTGCTCTGAGTACAATCAGGAGTCAACGCAACTCAAATGTAGACTGACAAAAAGTCTACGCAATGACAGCAAATAATGGTGGTCTCAGAAGACTAAAGAGATGAAAAAGACAGCGACGATAGGTAACAACAAACAATTATTTAGACTTATCAAAGAAACTGGGACGAATAGGTCAACAGTCTGTGAGATTAGCGCAGAGAAGGATGAGTCTGTGATTCGATTTCAGGGGAGATGACTTGAACCGTAGCTACAACACTTCCAGGAACAGTCCAACTGGTCTCCAGCTGCTATTGCGCTGCCCGCTACCCAATCGGATCCTGAATGGAACATTGAGATCCCCCCCCTACCTCCAACACTTGCAGAAGTCGAGAAAGCGATAGGTGACTTGAAATGAGGAAGGGCAGCTGGACCAGATGGACTAATTCTTAGGGAATATAAGGATCGTGCTAGTGTTTTCAGTCAAGTTAAGTGAAGTGTTAACTAGTGTATGGCAGTCGAATATGATCCCCTATGACTGGTTTCAGTCACTAATTATCCCAGTCTTCAAGAAAGGCTAGAAGTCTTTTTGTGAAAACCACAGAGTCAGCCTGACGAACATAGTTTCCAAGATTGTAGGTTCTATAAGCATTAGACGCCTTGATGGAGCTGTGGAACAACAAGCCCGAGGGAACCAGACAGGCTTCAGATCTGGTCGTGGGTGTATTGACGAAATATTCACACTCCGTCAGGTTCTGGAACACAGTCACGCTTACAGACGCCCGACAACAGTTGTACTTCTCAACCTGAAGGCGGTACTCAACTCCGTTGATTGAAACGTTTTACGGTAATGTCTCTGAAAGGGGTAGTGTGTAAGTATATCACCCTACTGAAGGCTCTTAACTCGAACACCTGTGTGCGTGTAATAGCCTACGGTGAGATATTGGGTGAGCTGTGTACATCGAGTGATGTCCATCAATGATGCCCACTTTCTATTCTTTCCGTTCTTATTCAATCTTATCAAAGATGTCTTTATGGAGGTTTCCCTCTCGTCATCTGACTTCGCAGGGATTGATCTAGTCATAGGAGGATTTTCCGTAGACTTAGAAAATGCAGATGACGTAACCCTGAGACACGAAGACGCTGAAAAGACACAGAGACTTCTGGATACCTTCAGTGGCAGTTCGAGAATGTTTGGGATGCGTTTCTCACCACCCAAATGCAAATTATTGCGCCAAGACTGATCTATAGTGGCATCCCACCTAACAATAGAGTGAAGTGGTTGAGTGCGTTGAACACCACTCCCCTGAGAAATCAGATCAGCTCTAGTGGCTCAGTGTCCGAGGAAATCTTTGCAGGGATATAAAAGGTTTAGTTGGCTTTTGCCAACTTACCTCATCTGTGGTGCCACCATATCCAGTGGATATGTGTTACGTACGCCTCATCGGCTAATGTTGGTCGAAGTAGTTTCAGGCTGGAAGAAAGCTTAGGGCGGCCAGACTAAAATATAACGTCAATGCATAAAGTCTTCGACTGTTCGTCTGGGTCATGTAGGGCGATGTAGACTAGCTGGTTGGGGTCAGCGGGACAAAAGAAACCAGTGGTTGGAGAATCTAGGTGATATGGCTTAGAATAGACGGATATGTATACACACATTATCCTCATCTTAGCTGTTATACTTAATCCCATTTTCCCATTCCTCTTTCTCCTCTTTTACTACTTTCTATTTTCTTTGACTGATTTTTCTTTCATCTCCCACTTTATTGCCTTGGTACTTGGTGCGCTGATATGAGGTGTCGCAGCTTGGACCGTTACGCAGTAATGTCCGGTCTTATATTGATCTTGATGATGATACCACATCAAAGTAGGCAGTGACTTAGCATCCGCAGAATGTATCTAAGTCACCTCAAATGAGGAAAGTTCACTTCATTGACTGGCTTGCCTAGTATTCTTCACCTCACCTCGATAACACTCGCATTATGATTCCACCGCACGCGAGTAATGTTCAAGTATACCGATGTGTGAAAACCTGCAATCCTCTTAGTACATACTTTCAACGTTCACTTCTCATAGCTGTATAAAGGGATAGAACGCACTGTAGCGCAGTATACCCAGTGTTTAATAGGTAGTCGGATATCTCACCAGTCAGTACCAGTGATGACGCAAATTGGCAAATGCTTAACGAGCCTTCTGCATCCAAGTTAAGATTTCATCTGCAACCACTCTGTTCGGTCTGACGCAACTTCTCGAGCAAGTGAAGTGGTCGATGCATTTCACCACTTCACACCCTATCATTAGACTGGAAGCACTTGCACCAGACTAGCCCAGGAGCATCATTTTACACTTGACAGGTGCGAAACGCATACTCAACGCGTTCAGGAGATCCTGCATTTCGTAGACATCCACGACTAGTGGGACAATAGTCTATGCATACTCCAAGTCAACTGGGTAGCCTTCAGGCGTAAGATCAATGGCAATGAAGTTAGGCGTACCTAAGGTTATGTCCAATAGTGCGTCTATAACGGATGGCGCCATCCTTTCCTAAAAATATGGCAAGTGCTGGCCCCCAGTATGCATCCTTGTGTTAAATAAACTGACGCCAGGTAAGTAAAACGTGGTGGATGCGCCCTCGTCCAGTTCTGAAACCTGCCTGGTTTTCACGGGTTTGGTGTTCTCGTGCGTTGGATAACCATGGACACCAGGATCTTGGATACGATACTAGTCAAACTAATCCTCCGATGGTTGTCACAAAAGGATTTCTTTCCCTTCCAATACACCAGAATAATCAGTGAAGTAGACCAGTCTCATGGGACTATTTCCCATCCTTATATTCCACTCTAACCCAGGAAGCCTGCGGGCGGTTGACATTTCCCAACGTCCCACACTGTGGAAGGCTATTTCTTCTTAAGGTACGCGAAAAAGATTTTCATGATCATAGAATCAATAGAACATTTGCTTGAGGGTTATCACATGCAGCCTGTTGCGGGAAGTTGCTTCTAGATTTCGTTGGTCTAACGCCAGATAGAAGTGACGCATATCGTCAGCACCCGGAAACCATGAGGCATGGCGGACTGTCATTCTTGGGTCCGACCTTTACTAGCCTCTCCTTCCTGTTGCCAAGGCAATGTGTGGCACTTTTGGTTGTCCAGCAAGCTCCAGTACGACTTCGCCCTCAGATCCCCCCCCCCATCATGGTGCAGTAATTTACACTACAACGGTAACTGCTTTTCGTCTTACCACTACCCAACACACCTTTCTGGAATGGTAGGACCTCAAAGGGACGAGCATTCCACCCGTATAGCTCGTTGTGTCAATATGATATCTAAGCCCGATCATCACGTCATGTTAGCAGCTATAGGTCGTTAACAAGGTAGGGATTTTCCGGGACATCCTCAACTCGACAGTACGTTGGTATTCAGTCACGGTGCACGGAGATCAGAGACCTTAAAATAGCAGATTAGTCTCTTCGGAGTACATAATCCTGGGAACTCGGTCGAAACGTTCTCTAAGAACACTCCATTCACAAGTCAAATTACCAAAACGCTTCTAGAAGTTATCTTGAGTGTTTATTCATTATTACTATCGTACATCTTTCATGCAGTATTTCACACCTCCGAAATGACTGGTAATATATACACTAGTGTAAGGGTCCTAGAGTGAGTAGAGAATTAACTGACTGGCCTCCAGATCATAGTTGCGCGTTAATCGAAAGGGTGTTTTAGTCGGGTATCAGGACAGTAACACGTGTTGATAACAAGACTAATGACTGTAAACCGGTCGATATTAAATTCAACCCGATACAGGTTAAGACAGAAAACTATCACCATGAAGCTTGCGTAAAAAGAGCTCTAGATTAAAGCCAAATACAGCTAAACCGAAACCTAAGAGGATCATGATACAGTTCCTCCGGAAACTAACAAAACAAGAGAGGCCAGCGAAATGTTTAGTATTAGCTTTTCTGTTGTGAACAGTATCCAATGTTTCTTTTTAAACGCGAGAAGAAACAGAATATAGCACGAACAATCCACCCACAAAAATTTTGGCAATGGCTGTCAGGAGTTAACTAGCTCTATATGAAATGCAGGTTAGAGAGAGAAGTAGTAGAGTAGTAACAGAGTAAAAGATAACCCGGTTTACACGAATGGCAACACCTTAAGCATCCATCTAATGTGCCAGTGTATATATATAAATATAAATATAAATATATATATATATATATATATATATATATATATATATATATATATATATACATCCAACCTCCTCAAGGATCAAGATAGCCAGATTCAACTCAAAAGGAAGGAAAGCCACAATCATACAATGATATGCTGCGCACCTAAAACAAATAATGCAGATGAAGAGAAGAAGGAGTTCTACAAACAACTTCAATCAGTAATAGACAAGACCCCACACCAGATGGCGACATCAAAATTCATTACAATGGGTGGCATGAATGCCAAACTGCGAACGGACAACACAGGAAGAGAACTGATCATAGATCCAGAGTCACTCAGTGAAATGAACGAGAATGCAAAACTGTTTGCAGACTTCTGCACATTCAACGATTTGGTGATTGGAGACACAAGGATATTCACAAAGTGACATGGATATCACCAGACAACACGACACAATAAAAACCAGATCGACTGCATTTCAATCTCAAGAAAGTGGAGACACAGCCTACTGGACACAACACCAAGAAGGGCAGCAGACGTAGGTAAAAACCACTCACTATCTAGTGCAAGAAGCCCACCTTCAAAATCAAGTTGAAAGCCTTCAAACAAGCTGGTGATGATACACCACAGCTCAAGTTCAACACCCAACACAGAAACTGAAGCACAAAACTACTGAGGACACCTTCACGTCAGTCAGCCATCACGAAAAAATGGGAGACATTGAGCAACATCCCTGAAAGATCAGGGGTGGGACAACACTGGAACTCTTTGAAAGAGATGTGGACGGCAACCTGCATAAACGTGTTAGGAAGGAAGAAGTAGCAGGACAAGACAAGCAATGAACACGGACACGGACACATGGAAGCTGATAGATGAGAGGAAGATGTTGAAGCAGAAGATAAATATGTGCAGTGCAGTGCAGTGCAGGGATGAACAACGATAAGAGGAACTGAACACACCCCATAAAACACTACATTGGACAAAGAAGTGAACAACAGTGCGCGCAAAGACACAAGACACTTCTACAACACACTGACAAGTGAAGCAGAACACGCTGCACATAGGAGAGACAGACACCTGACAACACTATATCAAATAACCAGGTTACTATCTGGGAGGGAAGAGATCAATGCAGATGAAACCAATGAACGATAGTGAAGGAAACCTAGTTAGCAAAGAGGAGAAACAAAGGAAACGATGGGCTAATCACTTCGAAGAACTCTCAAATCGACCACCACCGCCACCACCTGCAACTTGTCCAGAAATACCACCAGCAGCCCAGACACAGAATTATCAGTCAACACAAGCCCTCCAACAAAACTCGAAGTCATGAACACCATGAAGTCACTGACAGACAGGAAAGCAGTGGGACCACATGGAATTCATCCAGAAACACTGAAAACACACACACGCACAGACAACACCGAACACGCTCACACCACTATTGCAGAAGCTTTGCAAGAAAGGGAGGAAGGAAGGAAGGAAGGAAAGGCACCTGCTGATCGATTAGAAGAAGGGCTACCTTGTCAAACTCTCTAACAAGGGAGACCCAAGTCAACACAAGAACTGCCACAGAATCATGCTCCTGTCACTGTCACTACAAGCAAAATATTATGCCGCATCATCCTGGAGGGATTAAAACATGTGCTGCATTCAAAATTACAACCGGGACAGGCAGGCTGGCTGGTTGAATTCAGGAAAAACAAATCATGTGCCGATCAAATTGCAACGCCACACCACCCTACGCATCATCATAGAACACAGCATAGCATAGCATAGCATAAAATGGCAGAACGGCAACTCCCCACCTCTCTACTTCATCCACTTTGTAAAGCCTTTCAACAGCGTCGACCGAGAAGTAATTTGTCAACTCATTCTACACTACGGTTTCAGTGCCACAAACCTTTGTCAACTTGACTCAACAGCAGCTATATGCTTCATGATGCTGCACGACGAGTGATTCACAATAGAAAGCTCAGTGACGCCTTTCAAGTGGAAGTGAAGACAGGAGTAAGACAAGGCTGTCGCCTACTATCACCGATTATCTTCCTGATTGTGGTCCACTCAACTCCACTCGATTTGATCAACTCAACAGGGTCATGCAACAAACTGTGAGAAGATGGGCATACACTGGCTAGACTGATGCGATGAGAAGACCCTAGAAGATTTGGATTTCGCCGCCACCGCCAACGATGATGATGATTTATACCTGATGCGTAATGTAGCACAAACTCGAAGATCTACAGGCAAAAATCAACAAGTTGACAGAAGAGGCAGGGCAGCGAAACAAGACGCGACTTCCTTCAAGTGAATGTACAGAAGACAGAGGTGATGAAGATATCCAACCACCACCACCACCAACAACAACAACGACAAAAAGCACCGACCACCATGAACGGGGGAAAACTAAAGGAAGTAGTCTCTTTCACCTACACCTACCCAGGCAAGGCAGCATCCTTTCAACTACAGGCAGCGAAGGCGGTGGCCATAGTGGCGGCGGCACAGATCAGGATGTCAAAGCAGTCAGGATCGGAGAGACAGCAAGACAAGACACGCCTTCCTGCACTAATCTGAAACCAGCATGCACATCTAATGCACTCCACTCCACTCTACTGCATTGTACTGCACTCCACTCCACTGCACTCAGCATGAAGCGTGAACAAGATCCACCTTTTCAACACCAACGTAAAGTCAGTGCTTCTATGTGATGGATGGATGGTTCAGAAACAAGGCGCGTCACGCAAAGCATTTCCAACTAACTACAGACATACCTCACCTCATCAACACCTGCCGCCTACGCCTACACCCACACCTATGCTCACTCGATACTGAATATCAGATCAGATGGCCAGAATAATAAGGATAAGCAACAAGGAACACTGGCTGGCTGGCAACGAACCAACCAAGAACCCATCGCCCAACAAATATGCAGAATAAAGTAGAGATGGACTTGAGTTGATTGAGCATACACTGAGAAAACTGCTCGGGGACACCACGCACCAGGTCAGGCCGTCGAGTGGAATCCAAAGGGGAAATGACGAGTTGGGCGTTTGATGGTGACATGGAGATCATGTGAGGAAGAAATGAAAGCTTGTGGGCAGATGTGGGGCCAGGTTAGAAAGAGTGCAGAGGAGAGAGTGCAATGGAGACTTGCTACTGAAGCCCTATGTTTTACTAGGAACCCAAGGGACAAATAATAATATATGGCTTTAAGGACATAAACCCTCGAGGTTGCTACATGCCAAAAATATGGTTTAATTATTCTAATTCAGTGAAGGAAACTAGGCTGATAAAATGCAAGGTTACCTTTGTCGATCCCCAAGATAAGGTATGACAGCTCCGTAGGGTAACAGCGATAGAACTTCTTGCAACCTTTCTCTAAAAGAAAAAGTAAGCATGTATCAGATGTCAAGTACGATCAACTAATAAATGCAAGTAACGAAACTCACTTATAGTTCTCATACACTTGCCCAAAGTTGTCGTGCTTTGCCAATTTCCTCATGAATGCAACTTGACACTCATAACCTGCATAATCAATCTGCACCTTGCGCCCGACAAGAGCTCGATTGCGAGTTTCATTTACCGCATGCTGAGCTACCTCAACATTATCAAAGTACAGAAGAGCTCGCATCAATTTTCTGTCTAAAACCACATGAGTTAGTTGACCGTATCGACCAAACTGTCTCGTTAAGAATGTTTCATTAATAGTAGGTGATAAGTTATCGAGCCATACAACATTTGTAGGTTGGCTTTTACCAAAACCTAGTTTGACAGGCTTTCCGTTGACACGAATCGTTTCCTGTTCTTGTAACGCCCGTACCACGCTCTTGATATCCCAGTATTGAATAAAGGCATAGGATGTCCCTGGCTGATTCGCCTGAATTTTTATATCTATTTCCTTCAGAGGTTAGACATGTGTATTTCGTACTTACAATTATTTCTCCATAACAACGGAAAGCACGACGAAGTTCATCCTGGGTTATCGTGCCTGAACACAGATTGCCAACAAACAAAGTTTTTGTAGCTTTAGGATGGTATTCATCCAAAGCGTGTTCAGGCGGACATAGATCAGGGTCTTCTGAATCTAGATCAACAAACCTAATCAATAACAATAGGAGACTTACTCAAGCCTTCGTGTGGATGCACAGATATTGGTGTACCAAAAAACACCTTACCCTTTGATGACGCAAGAGCTCTTTCAGCATCTTCACTTCTTTTGAATGTAATTATGCAGATACGCTCTTCATCTTGTCCACGTACGAATACAGAAGTGATTTTTCCATGTTTTTTATACTCATGAAATAATCCTTCCCGCAAATTTGTATCTGAGGAACGTAAAGGAAGATGGCTTATCTTTAATCCACGATGCTCGTTTTGGAAACGAGGGCTAGTATTCATGTTAGGTTTAGAATCTTTAGGATAATTCCGGTTTGTAACGGTATGTGATAAACTACTTCAATAAAAGTGTCAGTTAAACAGATTTTGAGGAAACTACCAGGCTTGGGATTGTTCTTTATTTTCTGGATCGTGAAATACAGAACTGGAGTCACTAACCGTACTCACGGATCGACTTTTTTGTTGTGAATACTTTCCATCTGACTGAAAAAGGCTGATAAGTTAATAGTAAATATGGTCATCGAGAGACTTTACCTAGTGCTGCTTGCTTGAGTATAATCCGTTGGAGTAACAAGTTGATCTGTACTGTTAGTTCCAGGAACACCCGACGACTCACAATATTGAAGAGATAAATTGACCTTTTTCAATCGAACTGTGCTCTCCACCGCTCGTGTCGCAGATTTAGTGTCAACAAATGCAACAACAGCACCATTACTTCCTTCATGCTCATGTATACGTACACTTTGGATTTTGCCATGACTGAAAAGAAAATGCAGCAAAATATAAATCCACCCGCCTAAATCCGAATGGCATGCATAGCAACAGAAGTGCACAACAACGAAAATAGTTATGTATCCAATTTATAAAAATTTCCGGATTCTGAAATAGACTACCTCTGTAAAACATCACGAATATCTTGTTCAGTAACACGGGCAGGTAAATTATTAATCCACAAATATCGTGTAACACGCATCACTTAATCATCAACTTGAATCAGAGGATATATCAAGCATGTAACGTCGTAATCCGAGAAAAGCATCAGAGTGCGATGAAACCAGACTGCAAAGTAGACAGGCTAAAGTCAAATGGTTAAGGCGATTCGATTGAATTTAGACCTGTGTTGTAGTTAGCGGATAGAAGAAAATCGATTGGTCGCTAGGACAGGAGTGACGCTACCTTCAATACCTAACTTCAGCTATAGGCTTGGCATGAGATAACATAAAGACGTAAAGAGATTCAAACAAAAATTTTTCTTGATCTATTTAATTAAAAATAATTCTTAAACTAATTTAAAATGTGGAAATTTTAAATGGTCATATTATCGATCGGTTGTTCACTGCCTTGCCTTCCACTTTTTCATTGGTCGAAATAAACAGTTGGTCTGACAACAAAACTCATAGTCTTTGGTCAACCAGATAGCAATGCATGTTAACGACCAAGGTCAACTGACTGGCCCTACTTTCTTTTCATTCCTAATCTAATTTTGTTCCGTATTTTGGTACGGAAATAACCTAGAAGTCATTTTTGATACATTTGGAGAAAGGACTTTTCTTTCCATATGTAACTTAGTTCGGATATTATAGGTGTTGTGATTTATGGTAACGAAAAAGGTGATAGCTAGAACATATTTATTCGCTTAATGGATTATAAAATTGAGCTTTCACCTGTTATCCTTTTCAATTAGAGTGGATTTACGGCTGCGAAGAATTTCAGCATTTGGTCAATACTATGTCCATATTTACGCATCTCACTCGACTCTGAAACGTAAAAGATGAATAAGTTATTCGTTATCAAGTCTGTCATTGTTTCTTTTAAGGAAAGGGACGGCTTCTGGAGAGCACTTACGATCCCTTAGTAACCTAGTTTTTGTATGGTGCGTATTCTCATCGTTGTTTCAACTCATGGTAGTGTTCTTCCGGCATAAGTATTCCAACCTGAAATCCAAGGTAAGCAGAAAATAGGAATTCAAGAGTGTTTGCGTGTCAGGAGCAAACATAGGGCTGGTTTCTTGGACGGCTTCCACTGCCACGGTTATTTTCCAGAACACCAACCATTTCCGGCACTTCTAGCTCCCAACCTGTTTTTCCTGGTTCCTTAGGACGACACCCAGTGCTTATCATGCTTATCAAAATTTGTAGAAGAGATAATTATTCGAAAAGATGACGAGGTTTAGCTTTAACTAACATGTTCTATAATGGATTTGTAGCACTATTATAATCTGTTGCAGGTGATGTTCAACTCTATTTACAGTCCGACTAAAACTCGTTCATTATGTTAAGAAGTGGATATGAAAGTCAATCACCTTGCATGCTACCGCTATCATGAATTCGCTGTAATTTATATTAAGCTTGTCTCAGCAACTGAGTCACACAACTTTGTGGATAATAAGATCTCGAATGGAGTGTCCTCATTTCCTCACATTTTGGTGTTCGATGCATGAACATCAGTTTCTTGAGTATATGACAACGGCCTTCACTTCGTATAAGTTAAGTTGAAATCGGCTGATAATTTCTCTACAAATAATGGAACTGAAGGATATATATTCTATCGAAGGATCGTATTCTAGTTATCATCAGTGGTAAAGGAAGTGGATAAGTAAAATCATGGAATTGTGTTACTATGATTTACTTCTTTTATATATCCCAAGTTTAAAAATTATAATACTTCACCGGATTAATTTTGTTCGCACATAATTAACTGAGTGATTTTATAGTTTCCAAAGAACTACTTGTTTCATTTGTCTATGTGAAATTCAAACTTGAATGTGGTGATGTCTCCTACTGATGAATAACTTTTCATGGATTCCTACTTTGATATTATTATCAAATGAAGTTCATTATTTCGATTGAGATACTCCCTATATCTTGAAGCTGCTTATGGATTGTAAGTGAAGTCACAAATCACATTCCCCATCTTGGGTCACATACCCATTTATATCATGTTTTTAACACCACATGAACCAAAATAAAAATAAATCCAACTATGTAAAAACATACATCAAGATACTATGGAAAATTTGAAACCTAAAGTCCAACTTATTTTGGGTCACCGATCGTTGAGTGTGTGTACCATCTTCAATTAAATGTTTTGATGCTGATAGAAGTATTTCCTCTTTTGAATTTTGATTTCCTATACTGGTTCAATCCATTTAATCGAAGAAGCAACGGTAATCGCAAAGAAATTTCCCTCCAGGATCCTCGTTGAGAGGAGTTTTCTAAATAAGAATCATTTTAAGAACAGTATGCGAGTTTTTAGAAATCCTAGTGATTTGTAAAACCTTTCGGATGGATTAACTACATTAGTTGTTATGTTCAAAATTCTCGTTGAACAGGTGTGCTCCAAAATAATGTCCTGTCTAATTATTACTTCTAAATTCAATTTATGTACTCTAGCTGACACTATTTCTGAAGCAATACTATTTCGAAAATATTTTGTAAATTACGGACTGAAATCCTTCTCGGTCTGCTGAGATTTGATTGGCCAGATAGTATCGTTAACTCGCACCCAGTAGTCTTAGCTGATCGCATTTCATACGAATCTTTACTTAACTGATGATATGCAAAACACTTTATACCTATAATAACAAAACATATAAATCCAAATAGTTGGTGTATATTTTTGGATATCTGCATTCTCATATTTCTACAGTGAACTCAAGCTATCATCTGATCCACACTTACTTTGCACGCTACCAAGAAGTGTGACAACTTGAACCAATGCACTTTTGTGCCAGGATCTAAGTTGATCTGTCCATCTTTATGATCTCTTATGAAAATGCAAACAGTACAGCATAATTCAGATAACTTATTTACGTAAAACCGTGACAGGTAGGAAGAATACGTGTTCATTTGTGGTTAAATATCGAACAATTCCTCATGCGACACTTGAACTTAATATTATTCTTTCTTCATCTACGCGTTAGCATCCTCAATAAGTTTTGTAGGTATTTTCATTGGTCATTGTTGAGACAATTTAAAATGGCTGATTCAAGCAAATTCATTGTATGTAGTTTTTATCTGAGTAGCTTTCAGTCCAATAGTATTCGAACAATGTCAACGACAGTATTAGGGGAGCAGCTCATTTATTATCCATTTCCACTGGTACATATATCAATTGTTTAATATTAACGTGAGACTTGACATTATTACTTAACGGCTGAAGTTACTATAACTCACACCAAAGAAATAGGGGGGACATGAAAAATTGTAGAAAATCTACTCGCCTTTAACCTGTTTCTAACCTAAACCTACGTCACTTAACATCACGCATTAGGGTAGGTGCTTATTAATCATGGGTAGGACATACCCCATCCGTTTTTTGTCGACGAATAGCCACAACCGCATCAACTGACCTACTTGTTTTACTCTACGCCTAAACTCCACATTAAGAACGTGGTGGTTCTGCGAGACACCAACAAAGCTATGTAGGTAACGGTGGCTGAATATCTAAAGCCTTATCATTTCTTCTACCCCCTAATGGTTATTTTTCACATTCATGTGGTTGAAATTTCGTACTCCGCTATAAGTGATTATCATGGATCGTTGCTGTCATACACGCCGAGCAACCATCTGTTCCGAATGTACTGCGTTCGCCGCAGTAAGAGTTGCTTAAAAACAAGCACTGTGAACAAACCATGATGCGACATCTATCCACTAAGTTTCCGTTTGAGTTATGAAGAAAAACGCAGGCTTCTTAAGTGAGATCCACTAGACAGTTGAAATTGATATGGATCAAATTCAATTTCAGTACCTAAAATACATTGAACTGTCATCATCGAAACCTAGGAAATTTTATTACCCTATACCTTTGTTATATTCATTCTTTTCTCTCATTTGCCTTCGCTTTCTGACAATTGGTTCCATTTTGGTGTCTTCTCTCTTACTGACACTCCGATTTTCTAGTTTGAAGCTTAGCAATTTGAACCGAGACAAAACTCATATTCTATAATGTTTTTGTACGTCTGTCTTATTGTCAACTGCATATAAAAAAATTATTTATCTGACTGCCCAGTTCACATAATTTCGCTCCAGTGGATTCGTGAAGTGAGTGTTAGCGCACAAAGCAGATCATCATCAACATCATTCTTTAATCCTTGGATAATACAGTAACACAAATACCACTTGTACAATGTAAGCTGTATCCCACATCTTAGTATCACATTTCGACTACTGAAAAATAAATTGTGTGAGAAACGTTTACAAATTCAGTTAATTCAACTAGTCACCTGCTTTTTATGTGCACATCATTCTTTCTAAAGACATCACATCAGACGTCAATAAATTAAACATTGAATCACTATTTCTGCAACTATGATACACTGACTCAGGAAACCCACAGACTATAGTGTCACTTATCTTGTGTTCAGTAGCATAAATCCGTCGTGTAGTTAAGCGTATCGGAATGACATTACAGTTGTATTGTGTAATAATTTATCAAATCAATAAAAAATAGTGCGTATGCTATGTAAATTGGTTTGCCGTAACACTAACGTATCATGTATTCATGCCTCACAAAAATTTGATTGTCTTTGCATGCATCGATTTTGAAATGGTGAGAACGTAAATCAATATCATTCATGTTTTATCTAAATAATTCCGACATCACATTTATTGGTCAATCTTAAACTGAAGTACGTGATATGATGTTTTGTTTTTATCAGGGTGTCAGTTGTTGCTATCTTTTTAAGTAGCACGTAGGTTATATTTTCATAATTCACTTCGTTTATGAGCCTTCTAAAGGAGTAAGCACACTACTTAATAGTTATTTTCTTTTACAGTAAGTCGAAAGGACGGTAGGTGACACAGTTTGTGCCAACTGTAAAATTAAAATAGAATTTACAGGGTTCTTAGAAGGTGTAGGCTATACGCTTCTTATATAAGAACTACTCGCCTACAATGGATTTATGAAATTTAGACCCGATGGATTAGACGAATATGAAACGTGAAAGAGTTGACTGGTACTTATCTTCAGTTT